TATATATATATTTGAATTGAGAATTACTTTTTAGTGAATATGGATTGAATTTAAACGGAAAGACCAGAACAGCGATATGGCTTAATGTGATGATTAAACTTCAAAAGGCTATGATTTCATGAAATAAACATGAGCGCTGCACGTTTCAGAGTCCAGTGCTGCGCTGCTTTGTGTACTGCCGTGACCGGTGTCGTGCCAAAAATTGATTGTCTGCCGAAAACTGATTGCCGTCTGTAATCACTTTTTGGCAAGTGTAAAACTGCATTTTATTGGTTTTATTGGCCATTTAAAGGTATTTCAGCAGGTAAAAAGGACTGCATGAGGTATAATCTGTCAAATATGCAGTCCTTTTTACCTGTTGAAATACCCATAAAACGGAAACAGTTATATTTTTTGTCATTCCGAAGGCGCCTCCTGCTGGCAGAGAATGCATGTGCATTTTCAATAAGCCTGTTTTATTGGAGAAGGGTATTCCTGCAATACCAGAGGCTGCAGTTTCAGGACCGCATTTCTAGGACCCTATTGTTTTTTTTATTTTTTATACATTTTATTTTATTTATTTTTATTTTTTTGTATGTAGCCTGTGCGGTACAAATTAGTGGGTTTATTAGTACATACATACATTTTAAATAATTTGAATACAAATACGAGTTTACAACATCCAGCAGCACAATGAACTGTTTTGCACAGCTAAATAGGCTAAATGGAGATTGCTGACATCGCCTCACACACTAACGTTCACGCCAGCTCTTACATTAAAAATAAGATGGAAATATAAAACATTTATAGTTTCCATGGATCTAGTCTTTGCATCTGTTTGTTTGTTTGATGTTTGAATCAGGTCTCCCCTGTTGCAATAGAATTGACTAGATGGCGCTGTCATAATAATAATAATAATTAAAGAATTAAAAAATAGGGTCCTAGTAGAACTGCGGTCCTAAAACTGCAGCCTCCGGTATTGTAGGAACACAGTATTGGGGTTGTTTTTGTTCAGACCAATGTGAAAATCGACCCATGTTTTTACCCTGCAAACACACAGAGCCGTAAATGCGAACTGGTGGATCGTTAAGAAGATAAAGCATTATAAAAATCTAAACAGTAAAATGTATTTATATGTTAATTAATATAATAATTTATTGATAATCATTGTTTAAATTAATAGAATAATTAATACTTTTGACTCATCCATTTTATTAAAAATGGTTTAAAGGCTGAAATGTGAAGTGTATCATTTTATAAAACTTTTTGTTTTTGTAGAATCTTGTATCTGTAAATCATGCTGTTTACAGTCATTTTACAGTTTAATATGTTACTATAGACATTGCCCTACCCCGCTCATGGTATTAATTTTATTTGTGCAGGTCTTAACAAAGGTCTTAAAAAGTCTTACATTTGAGCTTAAAAATCCTGCAGAAACCATGTCTATATAATTGCTTTATATTAAATAAAGTATCTTTCATTTTAATGACCATGTTGGAAAATACATTTTTGTTAGTTTTTGTTTTATTTTGTCCATCTTGTTGAACTAATGCAATGTCTCTGTTGTGTGACTGACTGTTTTGAATCTGTTTGAATTCAATCATTTCCTCTTCCTATCAAGTCTTGTTGTAGGCCTACTATAATTTCGCTGCCGTTCATCGTGACCACTAGGGGGAAGTATTTTACATGTTTTTATATTCATTTTTTTTTAGCAAGAAAGATTTTGGAGTTCACATTTTGTTCTAATATTACTTTGCAAAAGGTAGGTATTTGTTATTATTTATGTCATTTAAATTCATTTTTTTTATATTATATTTAGATTTTTTTATCACGTCTCATATATTTCTTGAACAGACAACACATGAATCACTTTTAGACATGATGATCGTTATTATTTATGTCATTTAAATTCATTTTTTTTATATTATATTTCGATTTTTTTATCACGTCTCATATATTTCTTGAACAGACAACACATGAATCACTTTTAGACATGATGATCATACATACATCATACAGTTACATTTTAAAGAGCAAAAACAGGAGTGTGTAATAATTCACATTCTTTCTTTATACTTGCAGAACGATTCGTATCACTTGGTGGTATATTGTGAACGGTGCAAAAAACACAGACGTAATTGTTAATACATTCTTTAAAATACTTGTTTATATAGAATAATCCATATATAAACAGCCAACAAAAGCCTAGATGAACAATATTACAAGCCCCATTATGTATTCAGACATCTGGCACTCATTTACATTTACATTTAAATATTTCAATCTATTAAGCCTGTTTTTCATCTGCAGCAACATCCAAAACTTAAGTCATAATTTATAGATTTAGAGAGATTCATGGATTTTTCACTCATCCAACGAATCGTGTAGATGTAGTGAAAAAAATGCATCCAGCACAGGGCATAAATTAGATATATGACCTTCTCTTGTGTGTTACTGAATACACAGATGCTATTTAAAGACTAAACATAACAAAGAAGAGTTGGCTGTCAAATACACACATTCTCTATTTGTGATGCATTGATTGACAGCATTGTAAGGAGTGTGAGATATAACGAAGTTGCAGTTAATGGAGATAAATAGAGAAGTGCCGGTGGCAAAATGAACCCCAACACTTTCAAACCAATTATTCTCTGCATTAAACCAACGGATGGATCATTAACAACCTGCCTGGATTTTTCCTTTCTGTCTCACACACACTTTCACACTTCTCTTTAGTCACACACCCAAAATGCATGCATCATTTTTCAGCAGTTTGTTCACGACAATTTTGCTGATATTGTGCTGTGAACAGTGACGTATAATTATAAAGTGGAGCTTCTTGATTGTGCACCATCTAAATACCGTGGTATTATATGACAATAGTGATCATTCATTACCAGAGGTATATATTGCTGTAGAGGGTCGACTGATACAATATAAGATATGATTTTGTTAATCAGCATTGTTGTCTTGATCTCCCATATAATTTTCAATTGAATTTTCAGTTTAATTTATCCACTGGTGAAAGCAAAGCAGTGAGTACATCCAAAGATTTTTCTCACACATGTTGTCCATTCATATTCTTTAAAAAACTAACACTTGCTTCTCTAATCTTTTTGCATTCTATTTGTTTTCTTTTTATTTATTATACAATTATAATTCTGACTTTCTGACTTCTGATTAACAAAAGCAAAAAAGGCCTCTAACACTAGCTTGCTCTATTCTTTTTCTATTCTATCTGTTTTCTTTTTATTTATTATATGATTAAAAAAAAAACTTGCTACGTGTACTGCATTAAGCTAACTGAGACTTGTTATAGCACTTGCATATCATTGCTTTTTTGTTGATTTTGATTGCTTCCATTGTCCTCATTTGTAAGTCACTTTGGATAAAAGCGTCTGCTAAATGTCTAAATGTAAATGTATTCATCAAGTTATTTCTTTGGTGAAAAATAAGAAGAAAAACTTTCATGAGCTTGTATGTTCAATATGTTAAATTATTTTTGTTCAATGTTTTTTCCACAAGTTTAATTAGAACAGATTGTAAGCATAGGCGGAGTGTGTATAAGGCTGGGGTCCTCTGACCACGGGGACTTGGGGCAATGCCACCAAATTGGACAAAAATACCCCTGCACAATTAAACTAAACCTATAACGTCTGTTGCGAATAAGTTGAAAAAAAATGAAAAGTGTCGATTGCGGCATTAAAGGAGACATATTATGCCCCTTTTTACAAGTAGCTTGCGCCAACAGTCCTACACGGAAGCAGCTCCGGGCGGATTACGTATGAGTTCAGCGTTGCGGAGGCCTTTGTTCACCCCCCCACCCGAGCCATGTGAGATACTTTTTATTTAACTTCTTTTGGACTGATGCATGCAACACCAGCAGAGTGGCATTAAACAGCTTGAAAGATCAAAAACAATTTTAAATATAACTCCGACTGGATTTGTCTGAAAGAAGAAAGTCATATACGCCAGTCTGTTGAGCTTATGAATGCAATGACCAATCAGAGACGTTCAGATAAGTCATGGCTGAAACGCCGGAGTTTTGTTCAGAGAGCATTTTCGCATTTTTTTTTTTAAATAAAGAGCTGATGTACGATGTGAGAAAGAGAATAATTTCACAGTGTTGACAGTTTTATTGACTATATTGATAATTGTTTTTTGTTTTTTTTGAGAGTGCTAAAAAGGGTCTAGAACTGTGGGATTAGATCTCTGCCACAATTCTGTGTGCGAAATATCATATTTTGAGCGTGCAAAAGTGCGCTTTGCAAACGTGCGAACTGAGTTTTGTGGAGAAATGTTTGTCTCGCAAAGAAGAAAGTATTTCGAGCAATTTTGCATTTAAAATAAGTTTTTGGATTCGTGCAAACCTTCTCTTTTGTGCGTTCAAGGTTTCACTAGCTTGCTCCCTTGATGCCCATCCTCAGTGCTCTCTAAATGCAAACGGCTCGCTTGCTCAACACAACCTAGTGTTATAATATGCCATAATTCCAGCCAATCAGAGATGAGGCTGCTAAATTCTGATTGGCTGCGCTGACAACCAATCACAACATTCCTTGCATTACCATGACAGCAGAAGAGGAAAAATACAGTGCATGAATAATTATTATGCAAGTTGATATTCTGATCATATTTTTTCCAAGCACATTTTACCAATTCCAAACGAGATCAATCTTAATAACTACTATTAATCTTGTATTTAATCATTTATAATTGATATATAATTATTCATGAAGGCTAGAAGTGAAAAATGTCTTATATTCAGGTGTG